TTATTATTGTTGTTGTTGTTGTTATTATTATTATTACTATTATTATTATTTTTGGTGCTTGAATTTATACAACTGTGGCCATGGAAGTGATTGGAACACCTGATTTTGGTTTTTTGGACGGGTGAGTGTATACTTTTGCCAATATAGTAAGGAGAAAGAGGAAGAAGTCACAGATACCACAGGACATTACAGTAGAACTTTTTGTTTGACAGTCCAGCTCTGGGTGACAAATATATGGTGCACAACCACGTGACTCTTCATTTCGTCTCTGGATTGGAGCTGCAGACAAGCCTCTTGTCACCAGCGACGATCCTCTACATCAAGATCGAATCATCCAGTTGATGACTGAAAGTGTGAAGAAAATAAGAGTCTTAGGGGTCATTAAAAACATAAGACTGCTGGGATAAACATTGTCTTTACAAGTGTATGTAAAGTTTTGTCCACGACAATATGTGAAATGTTTTTGTATACTGTATGGTAAAAAAAAAAAAAAAAGTAATTTGTAGTAAAACATCCAGTATTATAGTATGCCATCAAAAATGTCATAATATAGCATGTAATCCAAAAAAAAATTAAAGCACAATGTAAAAATGTTTCAGTGTTAAGTTTAAGTATACAGTTGAAACCAGAAGTCTACATACACTGTATAAAAAGACATAAAACCTATTTTTTCTCACTGTCTGACATTAAATCAGACTAAACTTTTCCTGTTCCAGGTCAGTTAGGATTTCCAACATTATATCTACTTGCTAAACACCAGAATAATGAGAGAGAGTTTTTTATTACTTTCTTCAAAGTCAAGTCAGTCTTCAAATTTTACATCCATTTATCCATTATCTATACACCGCTTAATCCTCGCTAGGATCACAGGGGGCTGGAGCCTATCCCAGCTGACTCAAGGCGAAGGCAGGGGACACCCTGGACAGGTCATCAGTCTATCGCAGGGCTACACTTAGAGACAGACAACCAAGCACACTCACATTCACACCTATGGACAATTTAGAATCACCAACTAACCTCAATATGTTTTTGGACCTTGTGGGAGGAAGCCGGAGAACCCGGAGAGAACCCACGCTGCACGGGGAGAACATGCAAACTCCACACAAAGATTCCGGTGCCCCCACCAGGACACAAACCGGCAACCTTCTTGCTGTGAGGCAACAGTGCTAACCAACTGCGCCACCTTGCAGCCCCAAATTTTACATACATTTCCTTAATATTTGTTTGCATTGGCTTTAAACTGCAGGACTTGGGTCAAACGTTTTGGGTAAATTTTCTACAGGACTGAGATCAGGGTTTTGTGGTGGCCACTCCAAAACATTGACTTTGTTGTCCTTAAGCCTCTTTGTAATTAATTTGGCGGTACGCTTGGGGTCATTGTCCATTTGAAGACCCATTTGCACCCAAGCTTTAACTCCATGGCTGATGTTGATTACAATATTTACACCTAATTTCTTTCCTCATGATGCCATCTATTTTGTGAAGTGCATCACTCCTCCTGCAGCAAAACGCACCCACAACATGATGCTGCCACCCCCGTATTTCACAGTTGGAGGTTGAGGGGAAAAGAAAAAAAAAGGTCATGTCTTTTTATACCGTGTATGTAAACTTCTGGTTTCAACTGTATGTAGTCAAAAATGTCATACTAAAGTTTATTTTCAAAAAGTCCTAGTATTGAAATCAATAACAGTTCATCAAAAATGGTCCTGATCCGGTACAAACCAAATAGTCAAAATACAAGTTTATTTTCATCGCCATTTGCTGCACCCTGTGATGCTCGCTCCTCGGTTTCAATTACACTTAGTCACCAAACATGTGAGGCACTCACAGCACACATACAACCTCTGGGGGGGTTGACCATGGAGTGTATGGAGGGTGGGGCCGTTTGAGTGGGTGGGACTGCTTGGGCGGCCCCACTCCCACCACGGCATGGTTACTGCTCCTCAATTTTAATTGCAAAAAAACCCCATACAACTCACTTACATTTATGAGCAGGGAAGGTGAGGGAAATGGGGTCCTCTCACACCCCTGTGCTCGGGGTGAGGGGTGGCTGGGGATGGGCGGGTGGGACTGGGTCTTGGGCTCATCGTTCTCTTGTCCACCCGGGGTGTTTCTCACAAGGCATGGTGGGTGGGTTAAGGGTGGCGTGGATGTGTGAAAGCAAGTGTTGTAAGATTGGAGGAAAAGGCGGATAAAGGGAGGCCTTGAACAGAAACACCCGGACTCGCTTTTTATTGTCATGGGGGACTTTAACAGACCAAGGTTGAACCTAGAGCTACCAAAATACAAACAGCACATTAGCTGTCCCACCAGAGACAGCAACACACTGGACCACTGCTACACTGTTATTAAAGGAGCATACCACTCTGTTCCCCGGGTGGCTCTAGGACACTCTGACCACTGTCTGGTCCACCTCATCCCCACATACAGGCAGAAACTAAAATCTGCAAAGCCTGTTGTCAGAACTGTGAGGAAAAGCAGGAACTACAAGCCTGTTTTGACTGTACAGACTGGAGTGTTTTTGAAGTTGCCAACAAGAACCTGGATGACCTGACAGACACTGTGACTGCGTACATCAGTTTCTGTGAGGACATGTGTGTGCCAACCAGAACCTTCAGGACCTTCAATAACAACAAGCCATGGTTCACCAGCAAACTGCGGCAGCTCCGTCATGCCAAGGAGGAGGCTTACAGGAGTGGGGACAGAGACCTGTTTAAGACGGCCAGAAACGCACTGAGCAAAGAGATCAGAGTGGCTAAGGGGAGCTACTCTGAGAAGCTAAAGAACCGGTTCGCAGCTAACGACCCTGCTTCAGTGTGGAGAGGCCTTCAACACGACACCAGCTACAGGAGACCATCCCCCCCTGCTGAGGGTAACAGAGACCTGGCCAACGACCTGAACTCCTTCTACTGCAGGTTTGAGAGGGACACATTCACACCCCTCCCCCTCCACAGCCCACCTCTCACCCACAACACAACCACACCAACAACCGCTGTCACACCTCAGTCTGCACCCCAAACTGCCCCCCCGTCACACTCACAGTGCGTGAAGAGGAAGTGAGCCACCTCTTCCAGAGGCAGAAAATCAGAAAAGAGGGTGGAGTGTGGGGGGATGGGTGGGCAGGGAGGGAGGTAGGACATGGGTGGATGGGGAAGGAGGGTGGTCAGTGGATCCCTGGTGTCCGGGGTGAGCGCCTGGGCATTGGGGTGGGTGCTGGCCCATGCCGGGTGGCTGCCTGGGGTAGCCTTGTCCTCCCGGGCTCTTGGTAGGCCTTCTGCCTGGAATGGGGCGGTGGGGGTGGCTCTTCGGCTCGTGTGGCGGGATGGCTGCTGATGGCCCGGGTCTTGGGGTTCTCCTGGTCTGCATCTGTCTTTTGCAGGGGCTCGGTTGCCCTCGCATGGTTTCACTCGCATGGCTGCACTCATGTTTGAACACTCCTTACCCCACACATTCTGCTAAATGACACTGCATTGTCCATACTGATATCTACCTTTGTTTGCTTTGTTTATTTCATGTATTTGTTTCTTCTTACATATGTGGTTTGCTTTTGTTGTTTTTTTCTTTTGTGTTTCTTTGCCTAGTCTCATCAATGTGTACATGTATAGATCTTGCTGCTCTGGCAATCGTTGAGATTCAGGTTTTCTCAGCTTCCGCATGTCTTGCAGGTACTCTTGATGATTGTCGGCCCTGTTTTCCCACAAAAGTCGTCAGATCGTCTCTGCTGTGTGTTAGTACAGGTGTAGATAGATTGTGGTGTATTTGTTTTCTTTTGTTTTCTTCTACTTTCCTTTCACGCTTTCTCGCACTTCTTTGGATTGTACACTTTTCTTTTTCCTCTTTCAGGTCCAGCAATATAACATGTAACTCAGTAAGAATCCAACATCCAAAATAAATGAACGAAATAAAATAGAATGAATACATACATAAATAAAGACAAATCAGACCATCAAGAGTGGACTTATATTTGTAAAGCTCCCCTTGGCAAAGTAAATCTGTTCAGCACAACACAGCATTCAGGTCATCATTCTGTTTGCGATGATGCTGGACCGAACACGTAAAAAAAAAACCAAGTTTATTTTCATCGAAAAAAAAATTTAAAAAGCAGGCCCTGAGAATTTGATTTGATTGGTCGTTAAAGTTAAAATGCTTCTGGACTTGGACATTTGAGTTTGTGCAGGAATGTTTATCGATAGAAACTGCGGGACTCGGTTTCCTAGTGAGGTGTTTTGTTTAGACAGTGGGACAAAGTTATACAACTGTCCACTGACTTCACCAGCAGCTGCTGGAGGACATGAAGTGCTGCTCTTTCAGTGTTTACTCAGTTCCTGGAATAGCCCTGTACAAAAACCAGTGAACCACTCCCTGACAAACAGACACTTTCACCTTCTTATAGGGTTATGTCAACCAGCAGATACTCTGCACACTAAGAAATTACAAAAAGATAAAGCGACACTCGTGAAACTACCGAAAACTAAGTTTGAACTGGAACAAGTTACACCTCTATTGTAATATTTAAGCAGAACTCTTTTTAAATTTTTAACTGCACTCAAGGAACATCTTGTGCAGTAATTGTTGCGCAATGAAAAGAACAACAACACAGAGCATTAGGCTGCAAGAGTCTACTTTATTGCAGTTTCACAAGGTGACAAAGTGAAAAATGTTTAACAAAGGCATGTGGACGTGTATGCACCACAGTGTGTCTAAGCAACACAGTATTACAAACAGAACATTACAAATGTTATAAAATAAAGGAGCTTATTTGTTGCATCATCTGCTGTTTTTTTTTTGTTTGTTTGTTTTTTTTACACATTTTCAGTTTGTTTTTTTTTGGTTGTCAATAAAAAAAACATAAGGAAACAAAAACAAGTAAGGCAGCCTATACTACAATGAATAATAATAATATAAAAAAAAAACTAAAAAGGTTGTAAACGGGACATCCTCCCGTCACCTAGCGTTGGTCGTTGGTTGGATTCCCCCGAGGTGTGGTGTGGACTGGAGTGAGATGGCAGGATCAGGAGGAGGTGGGACTCCCTGCATCGCTGCTCTCACTCACCTGCCGTTGCATCACCATCTCTCTGGCAACGCAGGTGATCTGACCATTCGTCACCACACCTGTGACCCCCGCCCTGGCAGAGGCAAAGACAGCGATTAGGAAAGCTACCCCTAACGTATGGCAAAAAGAGTGTGTAGCCATGTTTAGATTTAATTGTTAAGTAAGTTTGAAGCGTCACAATAACAACAACAACAAAAAAAAAAAGAATTTCTTGCAGAAATGATTGCTGTGTTTTGCTACGTTTTGAGAATTTTTAGGTCAAACTGCAACACAGATGTTAAAAAGGCACACCTGTATTATTACCACAGATAAACAGAAAATTCTGTGAATTTCCACATAAAGACAGATTCAGATAAAAGCAGCTGCAGACATATGCAGGCTGGACCACAGTCACTGTAAGGAAGCTGCACCAGTTCACCTCCACCAGATTTAAAGTGTGTGGTACTGGGCCTGGACCAGTATTAAAAGAGACATGATACAGGGGCTGGTGGTGACCGTAATACATACTGTGTGGGTAAATATACTTACTTCTGCTGTGCCTCCTCAGTCAACGGGGTCATCCCTGGCTGCTTTCCAAAGAAGAAACTGGACCACCAGTGGCCAGAGTCCTGCTTGGGGAGTCCTGTGGAAGCAAACAGTGAGGATGTAAGGCTTCAGATCTTTAAAAATGTCAACTGTCTTTTTAACTTTAACCTTTGATGTTTTTTGTTCTTTCAGTGCTCAGAAGAATTCCGCCTCCTTAAGAAGTGTCTCGTATGTCCAATGTGAACCCATTAGGGAACATGTGTCACCTGCATTAGTAATTTGATGTTTTCAACATGCCAGGAGTGCAGTTTAATTACAGCAGCAAGACTGGAAGGTATGCGAGATGGAGTTGCGTGTGTGTTTCATCAGTGACGCTCTGAGGGAGAAAGGATTATGGTTTCACCTCTCAGGACTCGTGTTTGGCTCACTGTCAAACTCACTGTGACACCGTAAGTGTCTGGACAGCTGCATTTAGACACAGGCAGCTATATTTATAAATGCTGTGTGCCACAATTAGCTTCTAGGTCAAGTTAAATAAGTGGTTCCAGTCACCGTCTCTCATATATATTTGTATTTGTATGTGTGTGTGTGTGCACACAATCTAAATAAAGTTAAACTGTAAAAAGTTTAAAAAGTTAAGCTTTAAACAAGACCTTTAAATCATGAACCACTATTTAACCCTTTAATCCTCACCAACAGGTTTGGAATTCATGGTGTCTTCTTTAAAAAAAATAATCATAGTGGTGAAAATGAAAGAAATTTAACTTTTTTGTTTCTCTCTTTTATTTACGATTCATGGCATAACTGTGCTATACTGCAAAAATGACATTTTTGAGTTCTCTACTCGCAGCCATGGTTGTACTGCTGTACTGTACGGATGTTTCTTAGGAGATGTGGGACTATATATTGCAGTGAAAATGAGTCCACAGTGAGAAAAAAAAAAAGGACCAGAACTGTTTGCAGTACAGCCTCTTTCAGTTGTCATTACTACAATATACTTCTACTAGTATGTAAAAAAAATCTCATCTATACCAGTTTTTGTTGTCGTTATATTTTAACCTGCTGGAGAAAGTCAGAAATCCTGTTTTTAAAGCATGTGCACTGAACTGCATGTATGCACACACCCAGTCTCCTCTTTGACCTACTTTCAGCACTGAGGGAGTGTGTCAGTACTTGACAGTTTTATCACCCTGGCATAATAGAAAAATGTGTCCTGCGGTTTAAAAACAGACGTATCGACACAAATCTGAATCAGCACTAAACTGTGGCACCAGATGTTTTTTAGTTAACCTGGATTACAGTTGAACTCAGCAGATACTAACTGCTGATAAGAGTCTTAGCGGCACATGAGGAGCTGAACACGTGTGATGACGCTATACTGACACATGAATCCTAACCACAGAACTGAAAAATGTTGGTTGCCTGTTTAAGAAATACCCTAAGTGTAAGAGGACAGTGAAAAAACTTGGTAAAAAGCCTGATCAGACAAGAAACAACCAGTCCAGGATGACTCAACCACTGTGACTGTGTGGTCTGAGTCAACAGCTGACGCAACCATGGCAATCCTTGGATTACTGAAACTGAAGTGATATTACAAGATCAGTGAGCACTGGTGTGGTGTGGACTAAGACCAGTCACTAACATAAGAAATGTTTTCCAAATCCAGGAAAGAACTTTTGTCTTTTATTACAATCCTTGCTAAGTATGACCTTCAAAAGTGAAACAGTGATAAATTAAGTGATTTATACTCCTGGACCTCAACAGCTCTGATGTGTTTCAGTAAGTTTTCTGGTCACGTTTAAAATTCAGTGGATATTTAGAACTGACATATCTGCTGTGTCTCCCCTGAAATCTAGGCCTATGTTGAAACTAACAAAGCTGTACAGAAAGACACATCACATATTATCAGATTGTGAACCCTGAAATTAGCCAACCTCTCCTTAAACTTAAAGCTCTTCGAACTTCACATGAGGATCTAAATTCTGTTCAGAAGCTCTCCTCCAATAACAAGCACCTTGAAGCAAACCGTGAATATCTGGCACTCACCTGGATGATGAGGGATGACCTCCCCGCTGTACTCCGAACTGCCGCAAGAGCTGCTGCTGGACGTAGAGCCGATGCGCCCTGAACGAGGGTAGAATGGGCAAAAGCAGAATTAAAGAGGTGATTCATTTGAAAAAGGTTAAATTTAACAGGTGAAGAGGAACATGTCTCCTTTATCTGGAATCACTCTGCATAATTCACCCAAAGGGAGACCTTAATGGTCTTACGTAATATCTCTCTGTTCCAAAAATGAAACGGACAGAGGGGGATTCACGGGGCCCGGAAATTAAATTCCATTTTGCTCTGGTTATATAACCATAGCTGGCGGGGCACCTCCACCCTTTAGATTGGATTTACTGAGACAGGCTTTAACTGTATTTGACACTCTGGGGAACCTAAACACAGCACATACATGCATGCCACCAGAACAATGATGAGAGGGGGCAACTATTCTCCTATCTGTTGTGACTTTGCATTTTAGAGTTGAGTGTGAATCTACATGAAATATACGCACACAGACTGGGCAAATCCGTCTATCCACAGAAAGCTCTAGTCTGACATGACTCAGCATTACTCTAAACTGATGCAGGGAGGGTTACTCCATTCATTACAAGGGAAATGCATCACTTACAGCCATTTTTAGGTGATTTTTTGTGTTTTCTACTTCCTAACTGAATTAAAACTGTAGTCTACCGAAGAAAATCTTTGGTCAACTCAAATCATGTGAACTAAACTGTCGACAGTACAGCAAAAAATAAATTAATCAAGGCTGTTGATGTGATGCTTTTCTCCTCATGAAAGTAAAACAGGTGATTGTCTGATTAACAATGTTTGGTCATTCGAGAGTATATGGACCTGAACTCTAAAGTCCTAAATCCAATTTTTGTTGTAACGAGAAAAATATAGATTTGCTTTGAAATTCAGTCGTACTCACAGATCAAAAGAAATTTCCATAGTTAGTCATGGCAGCATACATTTTAGCAACTTTAATGACACTTTAATGTCTTTTGGCAGCAGTGTAATGGCAAGACACCCAAAAGGAGGAAAGAGTAATCCTGGCCCTGTGCGCTGGTGTGATAAGTGATTCAACAAAGAGACAGACTCACTTCGGTAGTAGTCAGTGGTCGCCACGAGAGAACCGCCTGCTGGAATAGCTGCCATTCTTCTGTTGTTGGTCTCTGTACTGTGTTCTTGATGGAAACCTGGAGAGGAAATACAGCGTGATTAAAACCAGGCTGGGTTGCATCACTCACCAAAGTACAGAAACTTCCCTTCCAGGCAAATTCTCTCACGTGGGTCCAAGCTGGAATCATTACGATTACATTTCAGCAGTTTGAGCTCATGATACTCATTAAATAGATGAATAATTTCTTCATTTTTGTGATTTGTAATCACGTAGAATAAAGCAGCCTTTAAAATTGAGGCTGCAACTAATGTCATTTTCAAATAAGTGGCTTAACACTTGGTCAGTTTATTATTTTTTATTTTTGTATTACCTTTCCATTAATAAAACTCTTGCCATTAATATTATGTTTATGTCTGTGTACTACCTGATTAGGACTTTAGACTAAGATTTTATATTTATTAACTCTGCTGCTGTCTTGTTGTTTTACTAACCCTTCATGAATACGGTGTGTGTCAAATTCCTTTGTGTGCGCAAGCTCACTTTCCAAGTAAAGATTTTTATGATTATTCTGCTCACAATTCACCAATGTACCAATTCAAATGACCAATTTAAAGGTTGTTTCTATTGTCCAAATTAGTGCTTGACACATATTTTAAAAATACTGCCAATGAGCAAAGGTGTGTTTTTTTTTTTTGTTTTTAACATATAACAGACATCTTTAAAATACTGGTGAACCGTTCAACACCAATTATAGGTCAGAAAATTTGACACACACAAAAAGGAGTAAAAATATCCTCTTAACCTCAGCAGAAGAACAAAGGAAACATTAAGACGTGTATAAATTGGTTGTGTCCCATAGTCAAAATGCATAACACAGATAAATGTATATGTTTAAAGAAAAAAACAGTCATATTGTGATCGGCAGATATTGCAATCACGATTCAGCTTCAAATGTGTCCGGGAAACATGTTTATAAGGCCTCTCTGGAGCACAACAATGCTTAAGTCGAAACGGTCTGTTATGACTCATTTTACCATTAAAAAAAATAATGCTGCACCTGTATTTGCAAATTTCGACAATATTCTGATTAGATGTTCAGCCATCTTTGTAAAACGTGAAAGATGAATGCATTTGTAAAAGCAGAGCCTCGTGAGCGGCGGACCCTCGTCGTGCACGTACACACTAGCATGACGTCGACCATGTTTTGCAGGGGTCTTGTTTACATTGAAGTCACTGCAGCAGACCGACATTTTGAAGTTATTCACTGTTACCATAAATAGTGAGAAAAGTGCATAAATCAAGAAAATGCGAATATACCTACATGTTATTCTAACCGAAACGGTTGAAGATTTGTTTTTTTAATTTTATTTATTTATTTTTACATATTTGAGGAGATTTAGCTTCAAGACAAAAACAAAGCCCAACAGTGTTTTCACAACAATTTCGCCGTTCCTGCTTCACTAAGCCACGGCTAAAATCTTGACTGCCGGTATTCTGGGAACGCAAACAGCACCGCAACGACAGCGGAAGACAAACAACACGTCGGTTCTTCCAACCTTTTCAGGATTCCAACCAGAACAAAGACTCACACACAGCAGTTCAGCCCTTGTATAGCAAGTTAGCATCGTTAGCTCGCCCCCTCAACACCAGAGAAACCCCCACCATTTTCTGACCCACATCGTCAAAAGTCTCACCTTTTACTGACCCAGACGTGCTTGGTGTTCAGTAGCACCCAATTCAATTCAGTCGGCGAGGCTGGGGGAGTAAACGCTAGGCGACGGGGCCCATTTGAAAATAAGTTTTGGGTAAATGTAACCCTCCAAGGTCCGAAACCGATATTGACGCTGCTTCTTGTTGCCTGTAACGGTCGGTTCGGTGTTATATAGGGAGGTGCAGTGACGTACCATCAAGGGGCGGGGCGAATTGTATAACCACGCCTACTCCACCTCGGAGCCAAACTTTGCATGAGCAGCATTTTTCTCCTAATTTTGGAGAGACTGATGACTATTTATCAGTACTTTTCTATAAACCTTGAAATAAATATTTAATTTGGCCATTTCTGTTGCATAAAAGGGAAAATTCTATAATTTGAGGCTGAAACTAACTCTTTCTTTTAATGAATCCCTTCAATTTAACGTTAGATTGTACTATTTTTATACTTTCACTTGGTACTCTGCTGTGGAACAATTCCACTTTAGTTTGAGCAAGGCAGGTTCATTTGTATGACACATTTCATATACAAAAATATTTTCTTTCTGTGGCCTTGCTTATAGATTTGATCAAGGTTCAAGGTTACTTTATTAATACCCGTGGGTACATTTGTTTTGCAAGAAAACAAATGATAGCATTTGGCAGTCCTTATCAAAATACACATTGAACCTGACAGGCAGGTACTTGATCAATTGCCAAGAACAAAAAAAAAAGACAAAATAGACAAGAGACAAAAAAGTGCTCAGTAATCCGCTATTCATCAATATAACAGCAAGGAAGTAAAAACACAAGATAAAATAAATAATATGATAATGATAATAAAATAAAATAAAATAATGTTGGTGGTCCATAAACTGTAAAATAAAATAAATCTAATCTAAACTCAAATTCATCATACATCATTAAAAGCACTTTATTCTATATGCCATTTAAATATCTGCCAAAAATAAACAACTTGGACCAATCCTGTGAAAAGCAGTACCTGCTGTGCTCCTCAACACAACTGAGAAGCCACGACTGACTCAGCTGCGACCAACAGTAACATGACAAATATTCAGGTTTTCAAGTAAACTGCAGGCTGTGTTTGCACAGAGCAAAGAGGAGACATAGACAACACAGACTGAGCGGAAACTAACACATACTGGATCAATAAAACAAGTGCAGCATGGCCGAAACACAGTCAACAACAGGTTATCAGCAAGTTCCTGGAAGAATCCAGCATGGTAAAATTGATGTGCAGACTAGTATGAAAAACAACAAGTTTATATAGGCTGAAGGAGAAGTAAATAGTGAAATATTTCTGACATGCTCAGCACTATTGTTTTCCAACAACAACTGTGAGAACTTAAAAAACTTTGTGTTTGTTGATTCCAGTTTTTTTTTTTTAAGTTCTGTGAAATAAATAATCAAAGAAATTAAATTTACATTATTTTTTGTGTCATTTATGGCAATATAACTGTGTCATACTGCATTTAACACATCTTTGAGTTTTATTTACGCCTAGCCATGGTCGCAAGGAAAAATGACTGAAGCACAAAAGAACTGCATGTGGTTCAGAGGGTTAAATCAGCAGCTGAGTTGACATTTTATCGTGTTGGTCAGGTAGAACAATTTGGTGTTGATGTTGTTTTTTCTTAATGTGATGCTTAGTCAACAACCACAGATTGCTGACAATTCACCACATTGAAGTCTTTCCACAGTGTTGTTCAGTCCAGCTGCGGTCTCTATTTAAGGAAACTAACCAGTGTGTGGATGAACGCTCACCAGCCAGCAAGCAGCGTCATCTTGTGGTGAAAGTAAAGAACTGCAGTAGTCTCATCATCATAATAAAGTGGATCTACTTAAACTTTACTTAAATATAAATTTTCTGCTTTAGTTACCTAAAACTGAATTTTCATTTAAACAAATGAGGAGCTGAAAAATGTGATCCTCTGTTGCAAATGAAACGGCCAACAGTAAATCCAAGTAGGAAGGAAATAAATAAAGTTCTATTCTATTCTATTCTATTCTATTCTATTCTATTCTATTCTATTCTATTCTATTCTATTCTAATAATAAGATAATTTACATAACATTAAAAGTGGCCAGTTTACTTTTCATACAAAGAAGTCAAACATGGTCACATCCTCCTAAATTTGAAGATTTTCTACTTTTGAAAAAATAAAAATTTTACTGGCTTCCATTTAGGTAGTTGTGATAAAAATGAAAAAAAAAGTCTCTATTATAAAAGTTTACTCAACTAATTAAGCAAATTAACTCATGATGGAAATATTAATGAAAAACTATATATCGAACATGACTTCACTACTCATAAAAGTAGCAAGATATGTCAGCAGGTTAGGCAAACAGCAATGAAAATACATTTTATTGTTTTATAAATAAGACATTATATCATAAGTTAAGACGATGACAGTTTTTTTGTTTGTTTGTTTGTTTGTTTGTTCAGGTTGCAACATAGACATCAGATGTGGTCGAATTACTATTAGTTATTTATTTGAGGAACTGATTTTTGAGACTTCATGTAGGTGCATATGTTTTCCTGGACTATATAAAGAGTCGACAATCTAAATTGCTATTAAGTAAAGCTCAATAAATTACAAGTACATGTACTTCCAAGCATCATCATTATGTTTTAATATATATTTGTGTAAGTCATTGTAAATAACATTAATTCCGGGGCACACAGTTAGAGAATCACTAGGCTAGCTACTGTGATATTAATGTGGACATGGACTAATAGAAGGAAAGTGGAATGAGCTCACTTTACCCACAGCACAGTGTTTCACATTTTAATTTCACTCTGGAAAACATTTTTTAAAAATCAAGCAATTAGCGGTTTAAATTCTGAAGCCTACAGAGCTGTGCTAATCTGTCAAATTCTAAACGACATGTATAGATGTGTACTAGTTAGAGTAAGAGTTACAGAAATGAAGGGTGTTACAAAAGGAAAAAGTAACGTTGTCGGCAGGATTCGAACCTGCGCGGGGAGACCCCAATGGATTTCTAGTCCATCGCCTTAACCACTCGGCCACGACAACTTACTGTTATCAAGCAAGTACGCCGCGAGGAAATCTCGCGATACCATAAACTGAAATACGGATATCCTGTTCAGCAGTACTAACTACAGTACAATATTGTACTATCTTGAATTTGTACTGTCGCTGCTACAGCAGAGGTATTCATCCCTGGTGGTCTAGTGGTTAGGATTCGGCGCTCTCACCGCCGCGGCCCGGGTTCGATTCCCGGTCAGGGAACGTTTGTTTTGTTCGAGACTGACCTATTTAACGTTTCAGAATCAGCTTTAATGGCCAAGTATGTACACAACATACATGGAATGAGCAAGGAAAAAAATAACAATAAAGTATAATAACTATAAAAAGAAGATTAAAAAAGAAACTGATGATAAAAACAAAATAAGATAAATATATACAAGAATATACATATCTAGCAGAAAAATATATATATCTGTACAGTGGTGCAAAAAGTTACCTAATTTATTCAACTCAGCAATCACAATCAAAGGCCTATTTCACAGCAGCCATTTTGGTAAGGAATAGTAGATTTAACAGGAGCATAATTAATAGCACAAAAATAAGAACAATTATATTGTGGTTCAGAACCTTCATTCATGTTCTTATGTGACATTCATCCCAAAATTGCAGCTGTAGCAAAGTTCAGTTGCTCTGCACTGTCACATGTGAACCTGAACAGCAAATTCAATTTAAATTTGTGGGTTTTATGGTGCCACTCAGCCTCACAGTATACAACACAAAAGATACATAAAGTACACATGTACTGCGATGTTTTATCACAACTTAGGTTGCATTGTATTTTCAGAAACTTAGTAGATTAATCAACCATGTTTAATTTCAATAAATTTAAGGTCACTAAACACCAGTTGTCCCAGTCTGTTTGCCGCAAAGCTGTTTTTAACAATAACGATTCTTTACAAAGCAGTTTTAGAACAAGCGTTTACAAAGTGCTTTGACAGAGAAAACAAAAGCCGGACATGCAGAACCCAAAATAACTATCAAATAAATCAAAAGTGATACAAATGCTTTTACTAACTAACCAATATTATCTGTCATAAATTAGAATTTGGGATAAAATCTACAGAAAAATACACAAAATGCAAAACAGTACATTTTCTAAGTGAATATAATAAACAAAAAAACTATGAACCACCAAATGAGGAAAAAAAAAAAAAAAGTAAATTCTAATGACAGACACACATATTGACCACAAACCACTTCTTCACTGAAAGGAATGCTTTATTGATATCCAAACATATACAACAAAACCAAAAAATGCTTTTAATTAATTCACCATAACCCTCCAAATCTGATCCCTTTTAACAATCTACATCAGCTAGGCCCTGGACCTAAATAAAGCTATAAGTACTCTACTGTCCTCCAGCCTTGGCGGCGGCTCTGAGCAGGCTGGTCATGTGCTGCACTTCCCATTGGCACCTAAAATAAACGCACATCATCCTTTTTGTAAGCATCAGTCTTCAAAAACTGATGTGAAGCTTTCAACAGGCAACAACAACACTGCAAGAAAAGTCATTTATTTCAGTCTTAAAAATTCAGATGTTTTTTTAGGAGCCAATACTAAAATAAATGACTTCAAATGAGCATTTCTTGAAGTGTACGAGAGTTTACATCTTGGCAAAGCAGAGACACGCAGACAGAAAGAGATTCTGTAACAGATATTTAAATATTGGCAAGTTGGTTTTTAACTGATGGCGCACTAATTGTACAAATAACAAATCCTCTCTGAAGTCTTCAAACGGAGGGAAAACATAATAAATCAGCTAACAGAAATATATTATCTACCAAAATGATCAACACAAACATACAAAACAGAACAAAAAAACACACTTTGAATACACTGGCAACAGTTTTGAAGCAGTTTGACGGATAGATGCATTTATAAATTTTTTATTTTTTTTCCCACATTTGTTCACTGTTGTTCAACTTTTTCACTCCGAGTGTCTGTTTGATTAGTTTTTTGTTTTTTTTTAATATATAGGCTTGACATGTCAAAATGTTTAAAGGTATGATTCTAGTCTTCAAATCCCACAATAAAACACCTGTCTAGCAATTATATTTAAAGACAGTGTACTGCGAAACATCTGGCATCAAATTTCTCTCGTTTCAACAGGTGAAAATTATTTTTTGGCAAAACTAAATGCCTTCAGTGTCCCAAAACAAAAAACCTGCAGTAACGGCTCAAGTTGACCAACATTTTAGGTGAAATTTGGCAAGTTGCAGGAGAATATTTGGTAGTAGTGCACTTTTTGTTGTTGGGAAATTTTACCACAACTGAAAAACAAACAAACAAACAAACAAAAAATAGAATAGAATACAACTTCTTTTACAGGAGAAAAGTGACAGTGCTACACAACTCAGGGAACTGTCACCGTTCTTGAGGCTGTATAGGTTTCACGAGGGTAAGAGCATTTTGTGTTAAAGGTTTGTGTTAGTTTGGCCTCATGCAGCACGCGTGTGCGATTTAGTGGCATTCAATGTGTGTTAAGAGGAGTGCGTTTGTTTGCAAATTTTCTGCTACAACAACGAGATGACACATATTGTGGCCCATCTGACTTTAAGGGTGCGTTCCAAGACCCACATCATACAGTACGCCAGAAAAAGATGTCTCTAATGTGCCAAAAAATACCAGCATGTCCTGCTACATCCAGTTGGATTTTGCATGATGAAGGCAAGCATTATTTTCTGGTTAGTCTGACCCACAATCCTCTTAACAGTGGAAAATAACATCACAGTGTGTTGCGCGGGTATAAACAAGCTTGCAAGATGGTCAAAGCTTAAGGCGCAAATATTATGACGGAGTCCAAGTTGGATGCAGACTACATGCAAGAGCAGCTGAAAGATAAAAAAAAAAAGAAAGAAAAACTGCAGGATTTGGAACGCATCCTAAATATCTTACTCCTCCTTCCTTCAATCGAACCAGTCTGTATGACTTAAAACAAAAACAGAACAAACAATAAACGCTATTTCTGTTCTACCAGCGAAATTATAATAAGAGGTGAGCCATTTAAAGTGAGTAAGGCCGATAGAGAAACGTCGACATTCACCAGGTAGTGTACACAGCAAAGCATCGTCATACATTTGTTAACAAAAAGAAGGGAGCAGCAGCCAAACCTGGGTGAGGAGGAAACACAGCCGAGGTAGTTTCTGAGGGTTTGATGGCACTTTTAAATGGGATCGTGCTTATGAGAAGAAATATGAGCTGTAATGTGTTTGCTGCTGTTCGGTGGAGTTCCTTTTTTTATGGTAAATAGTAATAGATTTTAACTGTAGTCGTAGTTTAGAAGTTTTTCGTCACAACTTTATACATTTGAAAGAAATGTTATGCACATGCATGACGTTATCCTCATTGGCTTGCTACATTATTAGCCCCAGTAGCCTCTACACAATCGAGATTTACGTCTGATGTTATGACTTGAATGGAAAGCATCATGAAGTTCAAGTCGAAGGCAGCAGTAGTTTGACTGCGGCAGTCTTGATTGAAACCAGTCGACTGTGTTCCCTCTCACCTCGGTCTGATTCGTCTGCGGCTCATTCATGAGTCAGTCCCCCAACCATTATTTTAGACCACAAATGTACTCTGAACAGAAAAAAACCCAACTCCTGACAGACAAAGAAGTCACATCTGTGAAACTGACCCATAGTGTTTCTTTGTTTTCCCCATTTTCAAAGTTTGTTCAGCCTCCCACTGCCGTTTTTTTTTCCTTTCTTCTTCTTCTCCATCCTCCCAACCTGATTGCTACCATTTGGCAGCATCAGTGACAATATATTTATTCATATATATTTATACATATTGATAAAAGTTATGTAAAAACATTATGCAAAGCAGTGTAAAATAGTTTATAATACAAAATGGTTTTTTTCTGTTTTTACATCCTGGGGTGTTGTTAGGGCGAGACCTTAGCCGTCTTTGCACTGTTTGTACAACTGAGATGAGATATGCACATGCATGTAGCAGGAGGAGATGTCCTGGATCTTGCGCCCCCCCCTCCCTCCCCAACCCTCCCCCAGTCAAACCACTAACTGCAAAACCTGCAATGTAGCCGCAGAGCTGTGAAACAAACTGGATACAAGTTTGAGAAACAGGCGGGGCACGTGCTCACAGTGTGAATGCATCACTTAAGTAGATGATAGTAGTCAGAAATAAGAAGACAAGAATAGTAGATTTAACTAGCATATACACCATTGTTTTTCCTTATGCCTGTAAAATCCTCCTCCACCCTCACTCTGAAGAAATCCTAGCTGCTAAACTCTGAGTTGGGAGTGAAAAACATACACCTGCAGGGTAAATTTTTGATACCAGACTCCCACTTACTCAACCAGTGTGTTAAGAAACCTCAATTTTTTTTGTTTTAGCCACTTCTTTAGCCGAGTTTGTTTAAAAAGGAGTGTCAACTTATTTGGACTAACAAATGGGTTTAACTAGGAAGAACATGGAGGCAGGCGGCAGTGATGTAACCAAGCGAGGTTGGTAAATTATCCAGGTTTAGACATCAACAAAATATTTTTTTTGTCAGCAGCGAGGCAGAAAAGTGGAGGCCATGGGACCAGCGCTGATGGGGCTGGTGGGGAAGAGCTGGCACCTCAAACACCACGAGTCCTTCACTTCTGCCGGCTGCCGTTTACAGACCTCGGGTGGCGATTAGCTGAAGATGGAGGGTCAAAGGTCTGAGCTGACTCTGAGAGGTGGTAACAGTACAGTCTAAGGGTTGTGAGGAAGGTGGCAGCGAGGAGGGCGAGGAGGGGGAGGGGGAGGAGGAGGAGGAGGAGG